GTAAAATGAAGAAAATCCAAAGAAATCTGAAAACATCAACAAAAACGAAAACAAGAACATAAGCAAAACAAGAAAAAAAAAAAAGAAAACAAATAGCAGGAACCCACCAATATCAAACATCCACAACAGCCTAAACAACACAAAAACAAAGTACAGTGCCGCTACAGTAGCCTATGCGACACAGGGCAAATAAACAGAAGAATACAAAAGGGGGCAAGATGTCACTGGAGACTGACAAAAAGCATAAGGAATTAAAGAGCAACCATGGAGGAACAAGTATGGACACACAATAAAAACCACTGATGAAAAATATACCACTAAAAGGAGATACCAAAAAAAAATTATCCATTAATCAAGCTACGAACGTTTAGAATAAGTGACAAAAATGAATAATGATGCTAAAGCAGCTAAAAACAATATAAAACTAAGCGCCGGGGCACATATGGTTTTATGTCTCTTGGGGACATATCTAGTTCAATTGTTGGCTCACATAAACTGCTTGGTCATATGGTAACTCTGTGTATAAACTTTTGAGGAACTGTCAAACTGTTTTCCAAAGTGGCTGCACCATTTTACATTCCTACCAGCAGGATCATAGACTGGGCTTTGACTATATCCTGTCTGTCTAAAATAAAACCTACTGGTACCCCTTCCTGCCATACTGATTCGCGGTTAGCTGAGTCTGGGACTCTGGGGGCACGATTGAGCTCATTACTACAGGTTGGCCTTATCCTGCTCCTTGGCATGCTGTTGATAGTAGCCTTAATTAAATACTTTAAGACAAATTGAACAGATTTGGTTTCAGCCTCTGTTGGTCAAATTAGTCAAAGTAGCTGACAGAGTGGCATACTTATATAAATATTTGAGTTCAATCAAGAACATGTTGGGTAGATAGTTGGGAGAGGCAATCTGCCATGGACCAGCACATTCTTGCTGGGTATGCCAAGAATGCAGGGCCCTAATTGCTCTTTACCTAGGCATTTCTTAAGGTTATGTGTTTGCAGCAAGCAACCCTGAGGGATGAAGTATTGTTTCTTTCCAAAAAAGAGCGGGCTTGCTTCAGTTTGCTATAAAAGTGGTGAATTGCTCAAGCTTAGTGTTCCTCTCCTATAATACAACTCAGTGCAGGGCAAGCATCCATCTGGGCTCGTCTACTTTACACTGAAGGACTTGGAGGGCCTGGGGAGCCAAAACAAACATGAAGGTCTGGATACTGAGTATTAGTATTACTCTTGTCATGAGTAATAAAGTCCTTTTTTTCTGACCCAGGAATCTCATGTCTTCTGACAGCATTTATGAAGTGGTAATAGGCTAACTTGTAAGCTTATAAGTAGGGTGAACTCTCAGACCCTGCACAATTCTTGACATTGTAAAAATCAGTTCCTGGTGGTTTTTAAGTCAAAAAGTAAAAGGTAAAACAATAAATTTAGTGAATTTTTTCTAGAAAAAAACATAGAAGACTATCTTCATAAACTTAGGACAGGGAAAGAGTTCATAAACAGGACACAAAAAATACTTGCCATAAAGAAAACACTGATATATTGGACTATATTAGAATGTACTTCTCTTCAGCAAAAAAACGTGATTAAGAGAGTGAAAAGGCAACCCACAGAATGAGAGATATGTTTATAACATATATATAACCAACAAAAGGCTCATGTCCAGAATGTAAGAGGAACTTCTACATATCAGTAAGTAAAACAGTCGACCCAAAAGAAAACTAGGCAAGAGACTTGAGTAGATACTCCACAAGAGGCTATCCAACTGGACAATAAAGAAATGAAAATGTGTTCCAATTAATTAATAATCAGGGATTGCAATTTAAAGCCACATTGCATTGCTACTATACACTCACTAAATTGGCTAAAATTAAAAAGACTGGCAATGTTGAGTGTTGGCAAGGATATGGATTCCAGGAACTCTCACTGACTGATGGTAGGAGTGTGAATCAGTATAACCACTTTGAAAAACTGTTTGGCATTAAGCTAAACATATGCATATCCTATAAGCCGGTAATTCTACTCCTAGATATATACTCAATTGAAACACAGGTACATGGTGCAGCAAAAGACATGTCCAACAGTACTTAATATTATTCAGAATAGTAAAAAATTATAAGCCACCCAACTATATACTTCAGCAGTGGAATAGATAAATAAATTGTTCAAACAATGGAATATTATGCAGCAGTGAAAATGGATGTGAACAAACTGAAAATGAAAATGAACAAACCATAGCTATCTGCAACAGTGCAGATGAATCTCGCAAACATGTTAGCAAAACAAGCCAACAAAGGGTGGTGGAGCAATATTAAAACCAGACTGAATAGAATCTAAAGTGAAAGACATTAATATGGGTATGGAGAGACATTACTTAATGATAAAAGGAATATTCCACAAGAAGATATAATGATCATGAATTTGCAACAAACACCATAGTCTTATAAAAAGGAAAATTATTACAATTATAAGGACAATTGACAAAATTCGGTCATGGTAGGAAACTTAATATGCTACTCTACATTTTATAAATACAGAAAATAATACTATATGTTATTTATGGGTATATACTTTAGTATTAAAAGTATAATACGATCATGGACAGAAACTAGTTTAAAAACTTCATGGTAGTAGTTACCTCTGGAAAGGGAGATAAAGAGAGTAAGCCTGAGTAGGTATACAAAGGAGATTTTAATTTTATCTGAGGTGTTTTATGGTTTAAGAAACAGAGCTGACACAATATGATAAAGTAGTAACATTTTAAAATGCTAGGTTTTGGGCACATGAATTTAGATCATCCCATTTTATTTTTCTGTATTTTTGAAATTTTTCATTATAAAACAGTAATGCACACAAACTAGCAAAAACTAGTAGAAATGAAAGGAAAATTTCATTTCAAAATACAAGTATTGTAAATTAAGAATTCTACAGATTTAGTAGAAAAAATAAGAAAAAGAAAATTAAATAATACTATTAGTAAACAGTATATTTACATAATATATTTGCGTGCACATATATATACACGCGTGGAAAAGGATATTTAGACATATATAATAGAGAGAGAGAAAACACTACATCTCTCAAATAGAGACTATATATTCTTTGAATATTTATGGACCATAAACAAAATCAATCATGTATTTGGCCACAAAAACAGCTCTTACAAATTTAAGCCAAAAAAATAGCAAAATAGGCAAAGGATATGAATAGACAATTTAGAGAAAAGCATATCCAGATAGCCAGCAAGTTCACGAAATATGTTTAATTTGTATTTTTCTAATTACTAGTAAATTTAAGTAATAAGGAGATACCACTTTTCACCCGTGAGATCTTCCAACATTTAAGAGTAGGTAGATCTTAAAAACATAGGGCTGAGTGAAAAACTAAACAAATCTATGACAAATGCTGTATACGTAAATCAAAAATACATACATACAACAAGCATGTAACAGGACACATACAACAACAGGACATTAGACATTAGAATTGTTTCCTGGAGTCATAGAGGATGGGATTGGGAAATGGAAATAATGGAAACAAATGGAAAAGTAAATGAAATGAATGATAATACCTATTGCTTGAGGGATGTAGAGGATGAGCAACCCTTCGACACTGCTGGTAGAAACATGAAGTGTTACAGACTTTCTGGAAAACAATCTGACAACATGTGCTACCACATTCTAGAAACAGTGGAATGCCCGTCAATAGGGGAATGACTAAAGAAATCATCCGTACTGTGAAATGGTATATCGCCATTAAAGGAGAATTAAAACTATACTTGATGCTTTGAAGAATTTCATAAGGTATTAAATAAAAGAAGGTGTAGAAAAATGAGTGTACAATAATGCCATTTTATTTATTAATGATTCCCCCCTCAACCCTTTAAATGTATATATGAGTATGTGTGTGTGTACGAGCACAGAGAAAAATGAGAAAGAACATATGCTAAGTTAGCGTGAGGAGCTAAACTAATGGGAGGTGGAAGGATAGGGGAGGGGAAGGTGGAGGCAACCAAAACAGGAAAAGAAAAAATAAAGATAGCACTAAAAAACTCAAGTGTGTGGGGCTGGCCCTGTGGCACAGTTGTTAAGTTTGGCATGCTCTGCTTTGACATCCCAGGTTCATGGGTTTGGATCCTGGGCACAGACCTACGCCACTCATCAGCCGTGGTGTGGCGGTGACCCACATACAACAAAAATAGAGGAAGATTGGCACAGATGTTAGCTCAGGGCTAATCTTCCTCAGCAAAAAAAAAAAAAAAAAAAGAGTTCAAGTGTGTGATCACGTTTATTCATGAATGTAAAATTATGTATATGTGGGGTATTTGTAGGCAGAGAATAATAAGATTTGTATTTATTTGTTTAACGTATAAGTTTCTTAGATAGTTGGAATTTCAGGCCACCTATGAGATACATTGGTCATATGGGTCTTGGTTGTTGCCTGCTCTGATAATTCTACTTTATGCATTTACAGTCCTTACACTAAGTTTGTTATCTCTATGATTTGTGCTATTTGTGGAATCTTTGTGGTTATCGTTCTTTCTGTAGTGATTCCTTACCCACATAATTTTTAGGAAAAATAGTGAAAACAAGTTTCCTGGGTTAACAGATAAAACTTGTTGATTAGTAGGCCCTAGTTTAATATTGATCTACATCAGTAGGCATCAATGTATATCTACATCAATAGGTATAGGCAACTGAAACCTTGGTGGTAACTGTGTCTTAGGAATTTGAGAGACGGCCTTAGAAGAAACACTTTTTTGTCATTTAGAATGCATTTTAGGAAATGAGGTATGCTGAGAAAAGTTACGTAGAGGAAGAGCAACCTGTCCATAACTGAGCACAGACAAGGCTTTTGAATCTTACCACGCTTCAGTTGTAAATATTAATATAAAATGTGCACCCTGCTTAGGACAGGACTAAGTGCTAGCAAACAGCATTAAACAAATATTAGGAATCAGTACTGTGCAGTGTAATTTATTATGTTGTATTTGTGTTTCAGATGCCTTTGGTGCTTCATGAAGAATATTTCCAGATATAGTACAGACATTAAGCCTTTGCCTCCCAACATAAAAGATAGACTGATTAAAATAATGAGCATGCACGGGCAGATAACAGATTCAAATATCAGTGAGGTAAGAGTATGTACAGCTGTAAAGCAAGCATACTTTACTGTTTAGATATGGTTTCAGACTGTTGGAGCAATGGTACACAGTAAGATTAGTAATAATTTTAAAATATAATAAAGCATCAGGGTTCTTTTTTCTCCAGATAACCAGAATGTCCGTGTGTAATAGTTCCTAAAAAAAACTCCCACTATTCTTCCAATTACTTGCCTTGTCTTCATGGTACCAGCACCCTTGATCTCCATGTTTTCAAAAAGTTTTAAATTTTTTGATCAATTGTACCTCAATAAAGCTGGAAAAAATAAAAATAAAAATGCAGGGTGAATAAACACATGGCCAAAAAAAGACTCATAGTAAGAAATATATGTTACATTGTGACTCTAGTACACAAACCATGCTTACGTGTACCAATACTGTGTGCAGTATACTTGGACATCTTCTATTTTATTCTAATTTGTCTTATTTCATTTAAAAAATGTTGATCACAGTCTAAATCAGTTTTATCCATTCATGAATAACAATCAGCAGTTAAAAAAATCACTCATTTAAACTCTTCTCATTCTTCTGGGTACCTTACTCTTGCTAACTTAGACTTACTCCCCTTCCCTACAACTAAGCTAAAATTGGCTATTTTATAAGGTAAAAAATATAGTAAAGGCCTCCACCCTGAGTTAAAATTCAGGCTTTGCCATCTTTTCTGAGATTGAGCCTCAGTTCTCTATAAAATGGGTTTGCAGCCACCATCACTATCTGCAGAGACTGGAACTACTAATTGCTGACTTTACCACACATTCTGCCCAAATCCTGTGAACAAAAGGAAACAAACTGCTGATAGCATATCAGCTATCCTGCATATGACCGTCCCTGTGACTTCACATTGTGATTGTGCTTCAGTGGGCCATTCATGTTTCTTCTACATTAACCTGAGGTACCTTTAATGCTTTATATTCTTCATGTTAGCTTGCATTTGAACATAGACATTTTAGTGTTATAGCCTGCTTGGCTCTAGGGAGGTAGAATAATATCTCTAGGCACTTATTGTTGATGGTTCTGTGGATGTATATAATTTATGTGTGGGGCCGGCCTGGTGGCATAGCAGTTAAGTTTGTGCACTCTGCTTCAGTGGCCTGGGGTTTGCTGCTTTGGATCCTGGGTGTGGACCTACGCACCGCTCATCATGCCATGCTGAGACAGTGTCGCACATAGAGCAATTAGAAGGATGTACAACTATGACATACAACTATCTACTGGGGCTTTGGGGAGAAAAAAGGAAAAAAGGAGGAAGATTGGCAACAGATGTTAGCTCAGAGCCAATCTTCCTCAAAAAAAGAGAAAAATTTATGTGTGGTTCACAGATGAAACATGACACTACAGACACTATAGGTTTCCTTCACTTCCCCACCATCCCCATTTCGTTCTACCCCTTTAGCCTATATTTCAGTGACTTAAACTTTTGTTTTATGGCAATCCTTAACATTCATTTAAACCTAATTTTACCTGAATAAAAAAGGGGTAAAGGGATGAATGAGATGAGGAAAAAAAGCATGATTTTCCTTGTTGCTCTCCCTCTAATCCCCATCCTTACAAGAGTCCTGCTTATGAAATTATTCGAAAAGCCAGATCTAACGTCTGTTACCAAGTTGCACACATCTTTAGATGGCTCTTTTTGAAATATTTCCTAAATCTTTTTGTAGTCTCTGGATGGAAAAAACCTTTTTAAACATGACACCAAATTTAGAAAACAAGAAGAAAAAGATTGATGGATTTGATTACATAAAAATATAAACTTATTTATGGCAAGAAGAAAAAAAAAAACAAAGTTAAGTAACAAACTAGGAAAAATATTTGCAATATGTATGAAATTCTACAGGATTTTTCATCTTGAAACCAATTTCAAGATAAAATCTACAAACCAATTTTTATCTACAAACCAGTAAGAAAAATCAAATAACAAAATAGAAGAATAAGGAAATACTCAAAAAAAAAAAATCACCGATAATATATAAAAGGATATTTAACCTCATTGGTAATCAAAGTCACAGTTTGTCTATCAGTTTGTCAGAGACTTAAAAAATAATAATACCGAGTGTTGGCAGTAATGTGGGGAACTCGCTTTTATCCCCTGCTGGTGAGAGTGTAAATTGATAAAAACCTTTTAGGAGGACAGTTGGGCATTAACTATCAAAAGTCCCAAAAATTTGCTTCCTATTGACTCAACAATTTTACTTCTGGTATTTTTTTTCCAGCTTTATTGAGATATAATTGACGTATTGTGCAAGTTTAAGGTGCAAGTACAAGTTTAAGGCAGTCTGCCTCAAGAGCACGTGTTCTTAATCACCATACTATATTGCCTCCCTAAATCAGCCCGAATGTTCAACTTGAGTGTTTGCCAGTGTAGGATATGTTTAGTAAGTTATGGTACATGCATAAAATGGAATAGTATGTAACCACAATAAGTTATTTTTGTAAAAAGTGCTCATCTTATGGTATATATGATCTGATCCCATTTTTCTTCAAAGGGTTTTTCTTTTTAACTCAAAAACATCAAAACTAATATTATGTTTGTCTCCAGATGTTGGTATTATGAGCAATTTTAAGTATAGTGGTTAAAAGCATAGCCTTTGGAATTAGAAAAACCTGGGTTCCAATCCCAGCTCTGCTCCTTTTTTGGCTGTGTACTTTGTGTGCGCTGCTTAAGCTCTCGGTGCCTCAATTTCCTCATTTCTAAAATGGTAATGACCCATCTCTCAGCGGGTGTGTGTGTGTGTGTGTGTGTGTGTGAGAGAGAATATTCAGTGACAATGTATGTAACATACTTAGTACCCTTCCTGGTAAGTGCCCAATAAATAGAAACAGTTATTCTTATCATTTATTATAATTTTTCTATATTGTCTGAATGTTTTACAGTAATAATACAGTACTTTTATATGCAGAATAGCAAAGGCATTTCTATTTTGGAAAAAATAAAGTAAAAGAAAAGGAAAATACCCCCAGGAAGAGAGCTCAGAATGCTTTGAAACTGATCTGCTATTTGTTAGTCTCAAGTAAACACTCAATAATACTGGGTTTGTTACTAGCTCCCAAAAATAAGAATGAAGAAGGTAAGTGTACTAGATAAGCAATACTAATACCCTGTAAGCATTTGGTATATAAGTGATTAAAGACTCATACCTGCTGAGCAAAGAGGCATTATAGCCAGAATCTCTAATAGCAGTCAGGAACTACTAGAAGAGGAAAAGTGCCCACCACCACCTTGGTTCTGCATCTCAGGGCTAGTGGATCCTTACTCTGCACCAGCTTCTCAACAGTGCTGTGTGTCCCAATGAGGAGTTTGGGGACATTAGAAGCTGCATCTCCAGCTGGAAGTGGACTTGGTTTTTTCATGCTTTATATGTCTGTCTCCACACAGGTAAACTTCTGTATTCTTTGCTGTATCTTCCATCCACTCTTTGTCTGTTATGACCACCAAAACACTGAATATGGAATAAATATTTGTATTTATAGGAAAAGTTAATTTTTCAAAATCATGTATTTATTACAGATTTTACATCCTGAAGTCCAAACTCTAGATCTACGGAGTTGTGATGTTTCAGATACTGCTCTCCTGCATCTGTGTAACTGCAGAAAACTGAAAAAATTAAATTTAAATTGCTCAAAAGGAAACAGAATTTCTGTAACTTCAAAAGGTATGGTCATTAACACTGAATGAATTGGTAGATTACTCTTCACCATCTGGTATCATTTTGGAGCAAAGAAGGGGAAAATATGTCAAAAGAGAGTATGAAGGTATCAAAAAATAGGTACTATATTTATCAATAAAAATATTCAAACTAAGATGAAGAATCCAAATTAGAGTTCTTGATTATAACCAGTGCTGAAAGTTAAGAAATAATTGGGTAAGTCACTATCTTGTATTTTAAACATATTTAAAATAAACATGGATAGATAACTATGTATTTTAAATATTTTGCCTGGTATAGTGGAACAAGAAATGAACAGTTCATACTTTGTTAAGACTTTTTTTTTTTATTTTATTTATTTATTTTTTTTCCCCCAAAGCCCCAGTAGACAGTTGTATGCCATAGCTGCACATCCTTCTAGCTGCTGTACGTGGGACGTAGCCTCAGCATGGCCGGAGAAGCGGTGCATTGGTGCACGCCCGGGATCCAAACCCGGGCTGCCAACAGCGGAGCACACGCACTCAACCGCCAAGCCCCGGGGCCGGCCCTGTTAAGACTTTTTTGATACAATATTACAACAGAAGGTTAAATCAGCATCAGATTAAATTTACCAGACACTCTCCAATCAGTCTGTACAATGTATAGTTTTTTATAGCCAGATTTCATTTTTCAATGTCACTATAACATGAATTAGTGGATTTTTACCATTTTTTTCAATATAGACCATTTTTTTTTGATATAGAATTTTTACCTTTTTTTTTTTTCAATATAAGAAAGAGGGACTTATATGGCTAACTAGGTTTCTGGAAAATTTTGTGGGTGGTCAGCTATATTTTGCAATCAACTTGGTTAGCAAGTTAGGATATTCACAGTATTGCAAAGAACTATAGGTTTTAAGTGTTCACACAAGTAATGACTGACTAGAAAGAACTTCCATGCTGGACAATGATGAATAAAATAAAAATTCTTTCTTAAGATATGGAAAACAATAAAATATTGACCTATTCATGAATTTACCATCTTCCCTTTTGTGTATTTTGCCCATAAGGCTATCTTTTAACGGTTCAATAATGTTTGTCTGTGATTGAAGGGGGATCTACCAAGTACACTTTTAGTCATGTGCCACATAATGACATTTTGGTCAACAATAGACCGCATATACGACAGTGGTCACATAAGATTAGTGCCATATAGCCTAGGTGTGTCCTCTATAATGTTCACACAATGACCAAATCGCCTAACAACATTTCTCAGAATGTATCCCCGTCGTTAAGCGACACACAACTGTATTTCTGTGGCACGTTATCATGTACCAGTCTCCATCATGCATTTACATCTGTTTAATTGGATTTAAGGACTTCTCTCTTCTTGACCCTCAGTAAAATATAAGATTGGTGTGGGGCGCCAGCCCAGTGGCGCAGTGGTTAAGTTTGTGCATTCTGCCTGGGCGGCCCGGGGTTGGCCCGTTCACATCCTGGGCTCAGACCTACTCACCACTCGTCAGGCCTCGCTGAGGCAGTGTCCCACATGGAAGAACTAGAGGGACCTACAACTAGGATATACAACTATGTACTGGGGCTTTGGGGAGAAAAAAAAAGAAAAAAAGAGGAAGATTGGCAACAGATGTTAGCTCAGGGCCAATCTTCCTCAAAAAAAAAAAAAGAAGAGGTATTTGAGGGCATTAAAAAAAAAAAAAAAAGATTGGTCCGGACTAACAGAGAAGGAGCTTGGTAGTAGAAAAGAGCAGAGTCAAAGGAGGAAGAGAAAATGCAAAGACACAGGTATGATTCTTAAGGATAAGCATGAAAACTGTTACTTAAAGCATTTGGGCAATTTAACATCTGATTTCCCTTGAGAGTTCACAAGAAAATTAATTTTACTACATTAAAACTTTTGTTTTAACAAAAAGGAGAATCATTTACTATTTAATTACCTAATTTGGTTCTGAATGACTTTTGGCTGTTTCCTAAAAGCAAATCTACTCATAAACAATAAAGGCTTGCCATTAATTGCAGATATTCTGAAGAAGATACTGTGTAGAGAATTCCTGAAACATTCCAAAAGACTTTTAAATAATGACAGCAGCACTAGAGAATAAGTATATCCTCACAGATGGACTACTTTGAAAAAGGCTAACAAAGAAGTGGATGTACCAGTCCTGGTGACACTAAAATGAAAATCAGTCACATTTCTCATACATATACATATATAGCTCATCGATACATGATTGTGTTTTCTCCCAGGAATAAAAGCTGTAGCATCATCTTGTTCTTACCTGCATGAAGCTTCTTTGAAAAGATGCTGCAATCTCACTGATGAAGGAGTTCTTGCTCTCGCGTTCAATTGCCGGCTGCTGAAGATCCTTGATTTAGGTGGCTGCTTGGGTATTACTGATGTATCCTTACATGCCTTAGGAGAAAACTGCTCATTTTTGCAGTGTGTTGATTTTTCAGCTACTCAGGTAAGTGAAATATAGACTTGAAATATAAAGACTATATATGTTTGCCAGTGTATTTCCATGACTCATCAGAAGGACATAATTAATTTTTGTTGTTGTTGAAATTATTGACCACTTCATGCTTTGGTGGTTTAAATAATTGCAATACAATTTGACACATTCCCCTCAATTATTTTAAGTAAGGGTGGAAGGTGTGTGTGGCTAAAACACATGTTTGCTGAATGGGAGGCAATAAAACTATATCTAAATGCTTAATAATTTTTAGAAAATTTTATTTCCGTCATCTCCATTTATGTGCTGTATTGCTTTTTCCCGTTGCTCAGGTGTCTGACAATGGTGTGGTTGCGCTTGTCAGTGGACCTTGTGCCAAGAAATTGGAGGTAACTTAAAAATATCTGTAATGATGATGCTAACTAAATTTTTATATTATCCTCAGAAATTATTTTTTAAACCAGATAACCAAGGCCTTATTATCAATGAGGTATTTCCATGGAATTTTTTTTTTTTTTTTTGCTTCCACCTCTTTATTCCCAGAGTAAAGGAAAACTGATAAAGTTAGGAGATAAAGTATGCTTTAAAATAAAAACCCATTTTACTTCCAGTGAAAGTTTTTATTTTCCAGAAGTTTTAGCTTCTAACACTTTTAAGAATAGTCTTATTATAGATGAAGATTGTGATAATTTGTCAATGTAAAGTGATATTCCGTACAATTTTCATGTCTGACTGATATTTCTACCAGGACTACTTATTCTTTTGCCATCATATTTTCCTTGCTATTGTATTTATTTTCTTGCCATTGTATTTTTCTGAATCCGTGAAGGGATCCAGAATATACCACTGCGGCATAAAAATTATTTTGAGCTGAAGATGTTTGAGAATCCACAGATGCAGCAAGAGGCTTTGTCTAAACCCTCCCTTCCCCCATCTGCCTAAAAGCAGAGCCTTCCAGAAGAATTCAGCTGCCATCAAAACCCCTTCAAGGAAGACTTCCCATACCTGGGAATATCACTCCTATCACTGGGGAAGCCAGATGAGAAATTGCATAAACAAACATTGTCACGAGACTATCATACCTCCCATCTGCTTTCCTAAAGGCCCATTTTGTCTTCCCTGAAAATCATTTGGTTTTTGTCCTTTCTCCCCTTCGCCTCCCCTATTAAGATGGTATATAAATTCTAAATTCTAGCCATTTCTTTGAGCCACTTTCTTTGTGAGCACTCATGTAAATAAACTTTGGCTTTTCTCTTGCTAATCTATCTTTTGTCAGTTTGATTCACAGGCCTCCAAAACAAGAACCTAAGAGGACAGAGAAAAGGTTTTTCCTCCCCAACAGCCACATTGTACAGCCATTTAAAAAGATCTTAAATTAGTGTTCAGCCTTTGGATCCAATGACTGATATGGCACCTATAACCTATTTCTAAATATGTTAAGAAGCCTTTTGTGCCAGGGATTTTGGTTTCTTCCTTTCTCGGTTTATAGTGGTTTTTTTTTTTTTAATTCTTCTTTAATATAGCTGTGCTTTTCATCAGTAAGCCACACCAAATCCTTTTTGAAAGTAACCAAGATATAAATGAATTATAAACATTAGTAATAACTATTGTGATAGAATGGCAGTGCCATGTTTTTGCCAAAATATTTTTCTTTGATTTATTGCCCAAAGAGTTTTTTTGTGTAATTTATATATCTGCATCTTGCTTGTATGTATCTGTATGTGTATATATATAAAAATCACATATATATTTTTTATAAATCTTTATATTAAGAAATTACCATATTTTCCTTATACCAAGTTCCAAATTCCAAATTGCATCCTATTTGTAGCAGAAATAAATTCTGCCATAATTTTTACTGTTTTAACTTTTTTTGTGTGTGTGTGAGGAAGATCGGCCCTGAGCTAACATCAGTTGCCAGTCTTCCTCTTTTTGTTTGAGGAAGGTTGTCCCTGAGCTAACATCCATGCCAGTCTTCCTCTGTTTTGTATGTGGGATGCCTCCACAGCGTGGCTTGATGAGCAGTATGTAGGTCCGTGCCCAGAATCCAAACCTTTGTGCGAACCCCAGGCTGCTGAGGCGGAACGTGCGAACTTAACCACTACACTGCAGGGCTGGCCCCTACTGTTTTAAATATTAACATTTGTTGAGCACTGACTATATTCCAGCCTCCATGCTACTGCCTCATATTCATTAGGTTATTTAATTCTTACAACGTTATCCTATAACCACCATCATTTTTAATAAAGTTCTCAAACAGTTAACCTAGTTTATCACTTCCTTATAAAACCACCAGGAAATTAGTTGTTATGCAGTGATAGGAATATACCTACATATTTACTTTAGTGTTATAAAATTAGGAGCACCAACCTAAGCAAACTTAGGAAAAAATCTAATAACCAGTAAGTGTTGGCGATTATAGTGCCATATCGTTGAATTTTTCATTTTTCCAAAGGTTGTTTCTTTAAGTGCCAAAACATTTTAATGGAAATCTTTCTAAAATTTATTAGAACTTAATTCCTTCCTTAAGGAAAGTAGAGTGAATGTACTTTAACGTTTGGCTCATAGCATTTTTGTGACCACAATTTCTGACTGAAATTGAAATACAAACTTTTTCATCTTTTTAACTGGTTCTTCTCTTGTACGTAATATGTATGCCTACCTTTTATCAGATGCCCTGTTTTAATCTGTTGCTCTGAATTTGTTCTATTCTGGGAAGTTAAATTATTAATGTTCCCAAATTGTTTATAACTTGAAAATAAATTTGCTTAAAAGTCTAAGGACCTCTCCTAAAGATTGACAAACACTTAGTACAAACTTATGTTACAGCATTTATTAAATGTCATGATTGTTTCTAAAATCTCTGTTGATCTGAATTCCTAGTGAGCAGGGACCATTTTGTTCATCATTTTATCCTCAGGTTTACTATAGTTCTAGACACATGGTAGTATCTCAATAAATATTATCACATTCTTCATATTCAGTCATTTTATAATTTTCTATAATCTTCATGATTAAAAGTTTAATTTGTTCTATAAAATTATTCATTTATTCAACAAATATTAAGTATCAGATATGTTCTAGGCACTGGCATATCAGAGAACAAAATCTGTCCATATAATGTATCATTCTTTCCTTTAATCATTTTTCTATTGTTGATAACTCAGATTATTTAGTTTTTAGCTATTTTAAATAGTTTATGTTGTGGTGTATCACTTTTTTCTTCCGTTATTATAACAAACTCACAAAAATGGAACAAGTGGATCAATAGGTATAAACAGTTTTTTAGTGGTCCTAAATTCATATTGCTAAATTGTTTCCTGTAAAGGTTATGTTGTAAATTCAATTTTTGCCTGGAGCCCAATTAGCCAGAATTGAATATTTTCTGTTTTTTTTTAATGCCTTAATTTAATATATTTTAAATGGAACCTGAGCTGAACACTGTTCCTTCCATCGGTTGTTCTCAAATTGTATTTCTTTGTAGCCTTTGCCAATTTATATCATAGGATACTTTTTGCCTCAATTTTTATGAGTTTTCAATATACTCAGGTTTCCTTTATTTCTAAGATATGATTGATTGTAATATGTACACCAACTTGATATCAGCTTTTCTGGAGAAAAGAAATACTACTCCCATAAATATACAGATTTTCCTCAATTTACGATGGGGTTACGTCGCGATAAACCCATCATAAGTTGAAAATATCATAAGTCAAAAATACATTTAATACACCTAACCTATTGAACATCGTAGCTTAGCCTAGCCTACCTTAAATGTGCTCAGAACACTCACATTAGCCTACAGTTGGGCAAAATCATCTAACACAAAGCCTGTTTTATAATAAAGTGTTGAATATCTCATATAATTTATTGAATACTGTACTGAAAGTGAAAAACAGAATGGTTGTGTGGGTACAGAATGCTCGTAGGGTATTGGTTGTTTACCCTCGTGATTGCGTGGCTGACGGGGAGCTGTAGCTCACTGCTGCTGCCCAACATCACAAGAGAGCATTGTACTGCATATCACTAGCCCGCGAAAAGATCAAAATTCAAAATTTGAAGTAAAGTTTCTACTGAATGTGTATCGCTTTTGCACCATCATAAAGTCAAAAAATTGTAAGTCAAACCATTGTAATTGGGGACCATCTGTACACATCAGCTATTAGATGAATCTTACTTCCAGAATTGTTAAAATATTTTTTATAGTGGTCAAATGTACATAAAATTTACTATTTTAACCATTTTTAGTGTACAATTAGTGAAATTAAGTTCGTTCACATTGATGTGCAGCCATTACCACTATCCATCTCCAGAACTTTTTCATCATCCCAAATTGAAACTCGTTACCCATTAAATAATAACTCTCTGTTACCCCCTCCCCCAGCCTCTGGCAACCTCTATTCTACTTTCCATCTCTATGCGTTTGCTGATTCTAATCACATTTTGTTTATCCATTCATCCATTGATATTTGTTTCCACCTTTTGGCTATTGCGAATACTGCTGCTATGAACATAGGTGTACAAATATCTGTTCGAGTCCTTGTTTTCCATTCTTTTGGGTATATACCTAAAGGTGAAACCGCTAGATCAGATCATATGGTAATTCTGTGTTTCATTGTTTGATGAACTGCCATACTGTTTCCATAGCAGCAGTGCCATTTTACATTCTCACCATCAAGGCAAAAGGGTTCCAAATGAGAACATCAAACAAAGGATATAGACTATTTCAAACATATGGAAAAGTATAGAAAATAATATAACAGAAACCTGTGGACCAACCACTTGAATTTTAACATTTTTTGTATTTACTTCAGTTCTTTTTAAAAATGATATGTTCTATCTAAAGCTCCCTGCTCCTTGATTCCCCTTCTCTTCCTTCAGAGTAACCACTATTCTAAAGATACCTGCATCTTTTCTTGCACGTTTGGATCCTTCATCTCTCTGCCCCTCTCTCTCTCTATAGAGATCCGTAAACACGATATAGTATTGTTTTATATATTTTAAAATTTTATATAATAGTTTCATAATGTATGTGTTCTTTTACAATTTGCTTTTTATTCAAAATTATGTTTTTTAATTTTTCAAGCTTTATTGGGGTATAATTTACATATACAATAAAATTCATCCATTTTAAGTATACAGTTGGATCAATTTTGGTAATTATTATAAAGCCTTGTAATCACCACCACAATTAAGTGTAGAACATTTCCATCAACTTAAAAGGTTTTTTCCCATCCCTTTGCAGTCAGTCCCCTTGCGTGGCCCTCCCCCAAGCAACCACTAATTTACTTTGTCATTATAGTTTTGCCTTTTCTAGAATTTTATATAAATGGAATCATACAGTATGTAGTCTTTTGGTTTTTTACTTTTTTCTTTTACTTCTTTCACTTAGTGTAATGTTTTTGAGATTCATCCATGTTGTTGTATGTCTTAATATTTCATTTCTTTTTTTTTGCTGAGTAGTATTCCGTAGTCTGGATATGACACAGTTTGTTCATACGTTCACCATTTGATGGACATTTGGGTTGTTCCAATTTTGGACTGTTATGAATACTGCTATGGACACTTGCATACAAGTCTTTGTGTAGACATATGTTTTCAATTTTCTTGGGTAAACACCTAGGAATGGAATTGCTGGGTCATATAGTAAGTACATGTTTAGCGTTATAAGATACTACCATATTGTTTTCCAAAGTGTGTGAACTAACATTATGTTTGAGATTTATGTCTATTAACCCAAGTAGATTTTTTTCATCTTAACTGTTTTATATTATTCCGTTATATTAATGAACCACCATTTATCTACCCATTCTCCACTTCTTTACTATTACAAATAATATTGCAATGGGCATATTTATAAATTGTTTCCTTGTGCACGTGTACAAGCGTTTCTCTGTATAGTGGACATCTGCAGTTGGAATTGCTGGGTTTGGGGGTATACTCATCTTCAGCTTTAATAGATATTGCCAAATTGCTTTATAAAATGGTTGGGCATTTAACTTTTAAAGCTGTTATAGCTTCCAAATTACTGCAGACTTACATTGGTCCTTTCTGTAGTTTTTCTTGCAAGTATGTATTTGGTTCTTTTTGGATCAGTGTTTTCCAAGCTTTTTCAAACTGTTATTGTAGGCCTGTTTTTTCTTTGGATTATCCTTTCTTTATTTTTGAACAGGAGATTCATATGGGACATTGTGTGAATTTGACTGACGAGGCTGTGGAAGCTGTCCTTACTTGTTGTCCTCAGATACGCATCTTACTCTTCCACGGATGCCCTCTTATCACAGGTTAGTATGATAGATTGCTTGGGTTCACATCCTGGTTTCACCTTTTAATAACTATGTCACCTTGAGTAAATTACTTAACCGGTTCCATTATTCAGTTCCCTTGTCTGTGAAATGGGTATAATGACAGTACCTACCTCATAAACTTGACCATGATGATTATCTGACGGCACTTTATATGGTGCCTGCATGTAGTAAGGGCTCAGTAAATATTAGTCATGATGACGATGGCGGTGGTGATGGTAAGTGCTCAATAAATGTTAACTATGATGAGGATGATGATGGTGGTGGAGGTAGTGGTCATGATATCAAACTTATGCTTTATGTAGACAATAAAAAAATTCAAGTTTATAATATTACATCTATCAAATATACTAAATGGCCTGTTAACTGTAATCTCATCAAGCGGTAGCAATTGAGATTCAGAATAATTTGGACTCTTCGGCTAATGTGGCACTTCACTGAAGGAGAACAAAGTAGTCACAGCCCATTTGGCCTGTACAAGAGCCATGACACTGTATATCATTGTGCCCCCTAAACCACAGCACCTCACCCCTTTCATATTACCCCTGCAATGGGTCCCATACCACAATATAACCTGGGTCTCACTTGTAAATTGGTACTTATGCCCAGTCCTTCCAGTTCATTTCTCTAATTACAGTCTAAACAGTTACTCTCTAGGTTGAGTTATTTTCCTAGAAGTCCTTTTGACAAGTTCTGTTTTTTCTCATGTTTGGACTGCCAATCTAAACCAAACATGTAGCGGGTTATATCTGGTTATCAGTGACATCTATAATGAAGACTAAATCTTTTTTTTTTTTTTAAGATTTTATTTATTTATTTTTCCCCAAAGCCCCAGTAGATAGTTGTGTGTCATAGCTGCACATCCTTCTAGTTGCTGTATGTGGGACGCGGCCTCAGCATGGCCGGAGAAGCAGCGCGTCGGTGCGAGCCCGGGATCCGAACCCGGGTCGCCAGCAGTGGAGCGCGCTCACTTAACCACCAAGCCACGGGGCCGGCCCAAGACTAAATCTTATTTTAGGCAAAAACATTTCTCAAAAAATTAAAACCAGGGGCCGGCCTGGTGGCATAGTGGTTAAGTGCGCACACTCCGTTTTGGCGTCTTGGGGTTCGCGGGTTCAGTTTACATGGCGGCATCCCATATAAAATTGAGGAAGATGGGCATGGATGTTAGCCCAGGGCCAATCTTCCTCAGCAAAAAGAGGAGGATTGGCATCGGATGTTAGCTCAGGGCTAATCTTCCTCACAAAAAAAAATTAAAACCAGAAGGGACATTTGAAACCGTTAACAGTGGTTACCTCTAGAGAAAGTTGTGGAGGGACAAGAATAAGAAAAAGCCTTTATTATATACCCTTTTGTACCTTTTGAATTTTGTATCACATGGATGATTTTAGCTATTAAAAATTAATAATAATAACTTTAAGAAAATAATTTAGAACTGGAAAAACTCATGGGACTGAGTACAGGGGATTGGTACATGTGTACACTATTCTGGCAGTTGTGAGAAGGCAAAGAGAGGCTCTCTAGTCATCAAACAAGGCAGAAAATTGTCTTCTGAGTAGGCTGTTATTGTAAGGTGTAGGTTACCACAATATGTGAAATGTAATAATGGCAACCTTTGATAATCTTTCCAGAATACCAACTAAAAATGTGTAAATCTACCCACTGAGCTATGTGTGCATTTAATCAATACATTGAATAAGCAAGTGGGACTCATATAGTGACTCTATTTTCCTCACACTATTTTACTACAAATCTGCTCTAAAGGGAATAATTTTTCCCAAAGCTAGATGAAATCTCAGACATGTGCCATTGACTTTTCTCATCATCCTCAGATAGTTAAAAGTCTTGTCATTTCATATCACTGAAGCCCTCTCATTTCAGTAATTAAAATGTCTTAGACCCATGTAACACTCTAAACAAGTGCAAGTTAAAGCTTTTTGCTCCTCCAGTCAGCCCAGGGTTGCTGGAGGTGGAAAGGCTGCAGTGGGTAAGGGGACTGTTAGTTTCTCTGTTTTACCATCCTGTGCTTTTCCTCTTCCTTCCCCAGGTTGCCCATATGGTTTCTGACCCCACCAATGTCAGTACAGGGTGGGACAGGGGTGGGTAGGAGGGCGAGGTAAGGGAAAGAAAAATCTTACTTGACCACTACTACTGTGATCTAGTGTCAGCACTCTGGGCTCTGTGGGTGAGCTGATTCTGATCTGTACTCTCTCAAGGGTGGAGTTGTTTCTGGGGTTCTTCAGAGCCCTTTTCTTCCTATCTCCACCCTCATCATTGCATATGTCTCCTATCTGCAGTTCTCTTGATTCAAGCAAATGTGTCTCTTCTGCCTTGTAGCCAGCATTTTCTTCCTCTGCCCTCAGGCATCTGGCAATACACCCTCAGTCTCTTTTTGTCGAGGTTTCCTAGCCCATCCATGTTGCTCTCATGAGGCAACCCTATGCCAGCCCATGTCCATCCACAGGAAATACATGCTTCAGACAATGAGAGTGCAGGTCTTTCCCAACTTCAGTCCTCTCTTTAGCTGCATGGACTCTTGCCATAACCTCTTACCCTTTAGTATTCTTAGATGTGGGTCTGATATTAGTGTGCAGTGTCCCCCAAGCTCCATGGGACATATCAGACTCTGCAACTGATCTCCTTAGAGCCCCCTGTCACTAGGCTTGAGGGGAAAAGCAAGCACCTCTAGCCCTCTCTCTAGAACTCAAATCACAGCTATCTTCAAAGAAATTTTCAACTCTCTATCCTTCCCACTTTAACACTTTTGTACCTTTGAAAGGATGAGGCACCATGGATTCTGAAACCAGTTTTCAGCCAAGCATTTGCAAGTCATGTGTATAGGTGGTCTGGCATCTCATTTTGAGATGAGAGTAGTTGGTACCTCTAGTCCTGGAACCTTAGCTGAAATAGTTCTATTTTAATGTTCTGTTATATTTGTCTCAGGATCCTTTGGCTATACAACATGTTATAAAATCAACCTTTGCTAATTTTATCTTGATTATCTTTCTGGTTACCATTTGGAAATAATTAAATTGGCACTTTCCCTCTACTTTTAACAGAAGTTAAGTCAGAAAAAATGTATACAGTCAACCAAGAAAATGTATCCTTAGGCAAACTGCCTAAAACAGTTATCAAAGACCTTATGGGTAATGAAATCTTTAGAAGATACGACCAAAAGCTTATTTGAATACAAGACCAATATTAAAATATTTAAATGTGCCTGTATTAATACAGAGATGACTGACAAATACCAACAATTTTCAAGTCTGAAAAATATGTTGGATGGGTTAATCTGATTTTCAAACCAGGAGTCTTTTGAGATAAATAACATAATTATTGAGATCACTGATAACCAAAGATATGTTATCAGTTGGTGGATTCAAGATAAACGCCTTCCTGGTATGATTCCAGAAGCTGGGGAGGCTTGGTTTTTTTGTTTTTTTCCCCCAAAGCCCCAGTAGATAGTTGTACGTCATAGTTGCACATCCTTCTGGTTGCTGTATGTGGGACGCAGCCTCAGCATGGCTGGAGAAGCGGTGCGTTGGTGCGTGCCCGGGATCCAAACCCGGGCCGCCAGTAGCGGGGCCCTCGCACTTAACTGATAAGCCACCGGGCCGGCCCTGGGGAGGCTTAATCCTAATAAATTTTTCCCCATCCACATAATGACTCAAAATGCTGACCTTACCAACTCAACTTGAAGATCGTAAAGGACAGGGATTATGCCATGCAATTCTTTTTTTTGTTTTGTTGTCTTCCATATCTAGTGTAGTGTTGTACACATAGCAGATACTCAATGAATATGTATAATTAATTCTAGATCATAAAAGTAAAATTAATTATATTCTTCTATACAATATGGCTACTTTAGTAAAACATTAAATTGGAAATTTCAACTAAGGCAACTAGATACAGTAGGTATAAAATTCTAAGGTGAGAGAAATGCCAGAGATGCAAATTTTCAAAAGATATATCTGAGAACCTATTTCACAACCCTAAAAACCCATCATCCACAAAAAGGTTTTAAAGGGGTTGAGATGGTGACTATTGAGAGAGGGTTTTGGTGAGGACTTCTGGATAGTGCTGCTGTTTCACCTTTCACCTAGAGTCCAATGAGAGGACCTTCAATGGGACTACTCAGGCCTGATATGTGTCCCCTGCAGTTGCCAGGTGGCCGTAGGCTAGCTGCTGGCAGTAGAAGTGAAGGAAAGGTTATTGCTGCTGCACTAAAATCAGCCTGCACTCGTAGAATTTGAAGATGCATAAATGTTGCCCATAGACCAGATGTGGGCATAGTGGGAGGGAGAGCCATCCAAGAGGGATAACTGCAGAGGGGGGACTGGATATTTTGCAACTTAAAATGTAGTTGGATAGTCTATGGTAGGAATGATTAGAACATCATAGTATTACCTAAATTTTCATCCAAAAGCAGGGGGAGAATGATCCCTCAATGAACAGTTTTGGAGGGACAAAAAGAACAAAAATAGAGTTGATATTAACGTTGTACCTTAAGAGCCATGCTTATTCAACATACAAATGAAAGTCTCATTATAGAAAAATGTCATGACATATTTAGAAACATTTTTAATCACAAACAAAATGGTAATTACAATTATAAAAATAAAAATATTCAGTTAATCAGAAAAGCTATTCCCATGCCTATGGTCAATTAAAGATTACTTCTTTTTCTTCAGAAAAGGAAAAAATACTTTTAAAATATTCTGATTTATTCAGAGGTCATAGTGCCTGAAAATATAATACAAAAACCTAAACTGATTCCTAATCCTGAGAGACTTACCTAGCTATTCCCTACTTCATGGAATTCTTATTCATTCAGTAGACTTCCAAATTAATGTGTTTAGAAACTTAATCAAATAAAGCTATTTACTTGTACTCTCTATTTATGGAATTATTAGATTATTCAATCTGTAATATTCTGTAATACCTTTGATAAATGTTAGTCAAATTATGAGCATATAGTT